AGAGAGACAGAGACAGAGAGACAGAGACAGAGAGACAGAGACAGAGACAGAGACAGAGACAGAGACAGAGACAGAGACAGAGACAGAGACAGAGACAGAGACAGAGACAGACAGAGACAGCCAGGCAGGCAGGCAGGCAGGCAGGCAGGCAGGCAGGCAGACAGACAGACAGACAGTCAGCAGCAATTTTGGTTGAGAGTTCCCGCAAAAGGGCTCCTTTTTCAAGTCGTCCTCGTGTTTGGGAACTCACAAACTGGAAGGGCTCTTGTGTGTCAGCTGCACTGTGTGACTGGTCAGTGATTACAGCCATTCGTGTTGCCAGCGGTCTTACAATGATTGACTTCAGTAGTGCGATTTTTATTACCACTGCAAGTAGTGCCAGTTGCTGCTGCCTTTGATTGCCGCAAGTCAGTGATTACAGCCATTCGTGTTACTAGCGGTCTTGCAATGCTTGGCTTGTGTAGTGCGATTTTTATTACAACTGCAAGTAGTGCCAGTTGCTGCTGCCATTGATTGCCGCAAGTGGTTATTCGTGACGTGCTGAAAACAAAGCCACGGCGCTATCAGGCGCTGTATCGTCTTATCCTTGGGGTTTAGGGTTTATGGGTTTAGGCCACCTTCTTAGGGGTTCCCACAATAAGGATTATCGTGTTTGGGGGTTTATCTTGTGGTCCTGTCTATGGTTAGCATCGATATCAGGCTCCTCAGGGTTAGTCACTTACCAACATCGTTGCGGCGTTGCTGCTAATGAATATTTCTGAAATCAGCCTCTCTGAAGCGATGGGTGCCGCAAATGTGGCTGCTATTGACAAGTACTTCTGTGACCAGGTGACCATGTGAAGGGTTTATGGTTTAGGGTTTAGGGTTTCGGGTTTCCAAGCAGGACTACCAATGACTAAGGCCACACCACCACTGCCGCAGCCGCAAGCACCGTACCATTACAACCACCATCACTGCCACTTTTGCCATTTGTAGTGCAACCGCAAGCAGCACTGCTAATGTCACTGAGATTCCTCTCCCTGCTTCTATGGCTTGGATGACTCTTGTCATTTGCAGCATACGGGCCAACACTACTCCTGCCATTGCTATGGGCATAGCAACTATCTGGGTTGCTGTTAAGGAACTTAAATTTCAATACCGGAATGGGTATATACAGAAGAACATGTCTTCCCCAATATGGTAACGTAAATTAAGTTCCTTAACAGCAACCAAGACTACAGTATCGCTGCTCCTGCCGCCGTTCCCAGATCATCTTGGCGATTCTTACTGCTTTTGCCTCTTATTAGTGTTGGAAGGAGGAATGGATCACCATCATAATTCAGTGGTTCTTTACAGAATTCCCCGAATTGATCCCTAATAGCCTCAACAGAACGTCACCATGAAACCACCCCCTAACCCATTTCTGCATTCCCTACTAAGCTTAGGCAAGAACCTGAGCCGTAAACCCCGTAGCCTAAACCATCCTAAACCGCAACGCCGAACATGCCCAAACCCTCAATCTTGAACCTCAACCGCAAGCCCTAAACTCGAGACCCCCCATATCAAGGGGAAAGTTGAGTTTCAAGTTTCAGTACCCTTGATTAAACCAATGGAATCGCTATACAGCCATAACAAATTCCGTAAACCCTAATAAAACCCTAAACCCCTAAACCCTAAACCCTTCACCCCCAGCCTAATCTGAAAACCCTCCTGAGGCAGGTTCAGTGATCCAAAAAGGAGCCTGTGGGCTCACCAATCTGGGTAACACCTGCTTTATGCAGCTGCCTCAGGGTAGGCCAGAGTTTTTTGGTGTTTTGAGGATTGAGGGTGCTTTGGGGATTCAGAGTCTAGGGCTTAAGGTTTATGGCTAGGGTTCAGGGTTGAGGGTATAGGGTGAGTGTTTGAGGATTGAAGGTAAGGGTTTAGGCGATAGTGTGGTTTGTGCTTTGGCGGTTTGGGGCTTTAAGTCCGTACGGGGATTGAGGGTCTAGGGCTGGTTTGGGAGTTTGCGGTTTAGGGCGCGACTGCTGCCGGTTATGCACATCCTTTTACGGATAAGGATACGGAAGATATAGATAAGATTTTGAGATGAGGCTTTTAAATGCCCATGTGATGAGCTATAGTCTAAACTCTTTAAAGGGGGATTATGTTACAGTCCCCCTGTGAGGCGTACAGGGATTCATATACAGTAGGGGAGTATTGTCGGGGTGGTGGGGTCATTAAGGGGGATACTAGGAGTTTAGACTATAGCTCCTGTGGAGCCTTGGAGTGTCTCCCCGCAGCTAGCATGGACCCCCCCCCAACATGGCCCCTTTTGAAACCGGGAAGAGTCTTTACAGTTTTATTTGGGGGTTCCATATGAATGGCGGGAGGGTCTGTCTTGTGTCGATAGGCTTGAGATCGATAGTTTCCTCGCTCCTCTGTTTCCAGTGTCGGCGCTGTTCATCACAACAGTTCAGTGCGATGGGAAGCATTGTTACATCCCTTCTGTCAAGCCAAGGAATAGCTCCATCCAGTGCCTCTCCAATATTCCACAGTTGAGGGAGTACTTCCTCGACTTGGACAAGGAGCCAGGGTCCAGGGTTAGGCCGGAAAGGATGCCATCAAGCAGGGAATTTTTTCATGTGGCTTACGAATGATCACTGTGTTCTGGGAGAGATCATATTCCTAGGGCCTCGATTCATCGTAGCAGCTGTCGAGAATATTTGACATGAGGTTCCTTCGTCAACTTTAATCTTCATAATTAGCAGAAGAGAAGGGAGGGGGGAGGATCACATCTTGTGGATTCTCCTGCAACCAGATTCCACGCCCGAAGTCCTACATCCCAAGCCTAACCCCTAAGCCTTAAGCTTCTTGACAATCAGGAGCATCTTAATCGGACGGCGCACAAGACGCAGGGAAAGCTTGCGGAAGCATTTGCCGACCTGTTCCTGCCTTATCATTCAGGGCCATTGCAGGTACTTCCGAAACCGGGCTCCCTTTCTAACCCCAAAATACAACCCTCATTATAGGGACTTTCAAAAGGGGCACCCCTGATTTTGGGCACCTTCCATGCGTCTGTGTATTGTCATGAGGATCTGGCATTCTATGACAAGATTCTGGAGTGCATCTTGTTGTCTTCTCATGAGCTATAGTCTAAACTCCTCGTATCCCCGTGAATAACCCTATAGCAGTCCCATATATAAACCCCCCTGTAAGGAGTTTAGACGATAGCTCGCATGAGTTTCTGGGCGTCATGTTTGATCAGCTTCTGGCGCTTCTTCTTATCCTTCAAAGGGCCTTCAAAGTCGGGGATGCCTTTGAGGTTGACCTCAGCTGTTGTTTGGCATGTTTCGTCTTTGAGAGGAGGAGTTGATCACCAGGGGAGCTAATCCCTGAACCCTAAACGCCTTCCCTCAACTCTCGGGTCTCATTTGCAAGCCTGAAGCTGCAAAACCGAAATCTTGTGCATCTGAGCAAGAACCTAAACTCCTTCAAAGGAAGTTATATAAGAGATTATATAGGGGCCTGCCATAGGGGTCAGTAAGGGGCATACTAGTGGTGCAGACCATGGTGCATCTGACTGTGAGGCTGAAGATGATGTGGACGGAAGGCACTGCCAAGGCTCTTCCTCCAAGACAAAATATTGGGTAGGCCTTTGGGCTATTTGAATTTTCCCTTACTGCTAAAACAAAGATCCTATATACCATCATGTTTTAAAAGGGTTCCAAGGCCGATTAAGACTACAGCGGGTAGCATGTACAGCTTGGTTTTGTGGGGTTAGGATTAGGGTTCAGGAAAGTTCATATCAATGTCTTCCCAAATCATCCGGGAAGGTTTTTCAAAACCACTATCAGGGGTCTTATGTGCTGTGCGCAAAGCTGTTTGATTTTAGGTGGCTTCTAGGTTCAGAGAGAAGTTGATGGTAACGCAGACTCCGCGGCCCCAAGTTGGCATCTTGGTTGAGCGCGCTCAAGGAAGACCTTAATTGCAAAGCATACCCAAATTGTGGAGAGTTTTGAAACAGCAGCCCTCTTTAGGGGGTGCGCTCCTTGCGGGGGGCGAGAAGGGCTTTAGGGTTTAGGGCTTAGGGTTCAGGCCTTGAAGCAGACCCAAAACACCAAATTTGGAAGACTTCCATCTGCTGCATGTGCGAGAGGTGGCTCCCAGAAACTTCAAGTACCAGGTGCGCAGGGTCCTGACGTGTTTGCTCAGGCAGAATCCTCGTTGATCTGATTCTGGGTGTTCTAGCTCGACTTTGCGCGGCATCCTAATTCCCATCTCTGCACAATCACTATTACCATCAATGTAGGCAAGACTTTCAGTCTTACGTTGGTTGCTATCTTTCTCGCTGCGGAAGCTCTTGACCCCAAGTCTTCTGTTGCAGGTCGGTCAGTTTGCCGAGCAATTCAGCGGTTATGGACAGCAGGCGCTGCCCGTCAATTGCACCTTTGTGGGTTGTTGGTAAGGAGTCAAGGTGGATCTTTTTACATCTTATTACGATGCACGGATACTGCAGGATGGCGTAGGGATACTGGGATCATGCATGGGGTCTTGGTCTCTAGGCGACTTTGCTACCGCTTGCTCTGCATAGCGAGGCCGGTGCAGCAATGTAGCATTGCCAGGATTTCAGTTTGGGCGTGTATGCTTTTCATATCCAGGACACGAAGGGAGTGTGTGCATACACGGTTAATCTGCTTCCCTGGAAATTGCCACTTCAAGGCGGCTGCAGGAGTAAAGCGCAATCATGAAGATTTGTACATCGAACCCTGAGTCCTAAACCCTAGACACTTGACCTGTAATCCCTAAACGCTGAACCCAAAACCCTAATCCCTAAACCCTAATGCCTAACCCTAATCCCTCAACCCTAACCAGCCCCCCCACAATCCCTGAACCTCAGCTCAGATGCTTGCTAGATGTCCTCACTGCGGGCAGGACTCTATGGAGTTGATCGAGTATGTGCTCGACGGCCTGAAAGAGGTCCTATACAGCTGTACAAGCCATTGGGATAACATCAGAGTTGTATTGGGGTTATATTGGAAACTACCATATTATATAGGGTTATATAGAGGTAATATAGGGTGGGTTTGCCTCGGGAATGGGGATAGGGGAAGATAGGGAACTGTATAAACATCGCTACTATTGTCATGAAAGATCGGTCTGGTCCGGGGATTACTGTGAGTCAAATTCAGGCGTGACTGAGCGAATCCTTTCCCTCATTCCCCATGATGTGCTAGTTGGGCTTTCCCTCTGCTTGTGCTTTCATCGGCATTGCCAGGACTGCAATACAGTCCAGGGGCCCAAGCCGTACATCGAGCTGAAGGAGGCATCTCAGAAAACTTTGAGCGTACGGTTGGGGACATCATTTGCTGCGGCTGCTTCTGCTACCGCGAGAGCTGCTCATGTAGAGCAGCGGCGGCGGCGGCGGCAGCAGCAGCAGCAGCAGCAACAGCGGCAGATGTCGTCGTAGTGGTAATGGTGCTTAGCTTTGCTCGTTGTCATCTTCTTTGCCAGGGTAGCAGTGGTAGAAGCAGCCCCACGAGCAACAGTCGCAGCAAAAGCATTGGGAAAATGAATCCTGATTCGTCATAGCATGCCAAAAATTAGCATCATGACAATGCCCTGAACATTTGCTGTTAAACATGCCCGCATGAGAAACCAGAGAAACGGCTACCGCAGCAGGCTGATGGAAGGCCAGACAGCGAAGTTGCCAGAGAAGCGCCTGAGCCTAAGACGACTACTACTACTACTACTACTACTTCTTCTACTACTACTAGGACTGCTTTTGCTGTAGTGGCCCACGGATGATCTGTGCTTGTCCAGGTGTGCTTGGTAGGCATCATGATTAGGGGTTCAAAGGAGGGTTTCCAAAATTGGGGGCACCATTTTTGGGGGCTCCCCATAATAAGGACTACAGTATTTTGTGGTTTTATATTGGGGTCCCCCTATTTAGGGAAACTACCAAAGGGTGGCATATCTTGCCAGTCACAGTCATGCTGGTGGATTCCTGACGAGGTGTTAACTTCTTCGTAGAAGTGAATTTGGATTGTGGAAAGTTTGTAGGCTTACTAGACTTCAGAACATGCTCGTATCAGCTCTACGTCATGAGCTCGATGCATTCCCCAAATCCCTAGATTGCCCCCATGCAGTCCTAGCGAAATCCCCTAAACCCTAAGCCCATAGCTGCTCAGGTTGGATGCGTATCATCAGCGCAACAAGTCCAAGGTGGATGATCTCTTCGTCGGCGCGGCGCCCAGTGAAAGTTCTATTGCTGAAGGTGTAAGGTTGAGGGTTTGGGGTCTAGGGGTCTAGGGGTCTAGAGTTAAGACTAGAGGGATTATATAGGGGTTATGTTGGGGTTATATAGGGATAATGGAAAAGAAAATGGAAACTACTATATTAGGTTGAGGGCCTAGGCAGAGGATGTGCTTAGTGTACTTTGCGCAGATTTTTTCGGAACATCATCTGCTTTTTCCTTTGAGGTCCTCATTTATAAGGATCCACAGATTTGGAGGATAAATTGGGGATCCTCAAGTTTCCGAAATTTCCATTTTGCTTTGCCTTGGTAATCCCTAACCCTAAACTCTGAACCCTAAACCCTAAACCCCGAACCTCAAAGGATGCCCAAGGTACGGGGGGCCGAGAACTCGCGGCATGCCTATTATGCAGGGTTTAGGGTTTTTAAGTTTAGGGTTTAGGTTTCAGGGTTAGGGCATGGTCATGGTTTACAACTTCCCAGAGCAACTGGTAACATGGAACCCCACATGAGCCATAGTCTACATTCCTTTAAGAGAGTTGTCTAGGGGATTATACAGGAGACACTAGGAGTTTAGACTATGGCTCACATGGGTAGTTCCCAAAATTAGGATCTGCTTTTGGTACCCCTGAATATAATATATGATCTATAAGCAAAAAGGGCACGCAGTGTTGAGAATAGCCCACCAATTCATAACCTCCTTTCAAAAGTCCGGCACCCTAAAACCTAAACCCTAAACCCTGGTCTTTGTAGAGCCTCCTTCAGAAATTCAAGATTTCATCTTAATTTTAGGGTGGGAAAATGCTTTGGTGGTCTCTCCAAGACATCGCGTGGAACCTTGTATGGATTTAGGGTTTAGGGTTCAGGGTACTTCATCAGCGGTAGTTCCAGAATGTTATCCCTTCTTTGTGGTGCACTTTGTAATGTCGGTGTGTCTCAAAACATTTTGTAGAAGCCTCAGTGCGCGGACACCCATAACCCTTTGCAATCTTTCTATATTCCCAGCCAGGGTTGATGTTGGTATCCCTGTTTTGGGAAGCCCTGTAAATCTGCCAATGATGCCAGGCTTGTTCAAATCTGTGGTGCGGTGTCCGCTGAAGGAGCGATGCCCTCGGACAGGGTCACGCCGGTGGTTGCCAAAACCACTCAGCCACTAAAATCAAACCTGCCCATAGTGGTATATAAGAAAGTATAGGGAATACTTGATATTGGTAAGGTAAGGTATGACTCTCAATATTGCACTGTGCACTTTGAGGGCCTGAAGAAGCCCTAAACCCTACACCGTAAACCCTAAACCTTGACTTTGACAACCCCTTCAGGAAGCACATTTCCAAGTCTCTGCAGCGATACTTGGAGCGTGGGGTCACTGTAGTATGCACAGCGACAACACCTCTGGCCTAGCCCAAGTACACCTGTCATGCTTGGCTGTCGGCCGAGACCACTAGACCCTGAACCCTACTACTGCTCCGAAAACCCTAAACGCCAGACCCTAAACCCTGAACACCAAACCCCCAACCCTAAACTCTAAACCCTGAAACCCTAAACCTAAACCCTCAATAGTAGTTTCCATTTTATTTTCCATTATCCCAATATACCCCCAATATAAATCTAATATTGAGCCTCTAAACCTTTAAACCCTAAACCCAAATCCCTAAAGCCAAAACCCTAAACCCTAAAACCCCAACCCTAAACCCTTAAATCCTAAACCCTTAAATCCTAAACCCAAAACCCAAAATCCGGCGAGGTGCGGACGGGTATCGGTAACCTTTGATCCCTTCCTGTCCGCCAAGCTGTCGCTGACTAGTGCTGCTGGGAACCCTGGCCAGGGTGTGGGACTGTCCCTTTATGGGATATATGGGGAGTATGTAGGGTTCAGGGTTTAGGGACATCTAACCCCAAAAATGGAGAATCGAATGGAGAAGAACACGGAGCATGACATGGAGACAGGTTTTTGCAGTGGTTTATAGGGATTAGGGTTCCCAAAAATTGGGGGGTCCTTTTTTGGAATCTAGCCTCAAGAGGGATTGTAGTATATTGCGGTCTATATTCGGGCCCTCTGTTTACGGAAGCTCCCTCGTATACTTGGGTCCTGCATCTTTTCATCAGGGTACGTAAGAAGAGATCTTGCAGTGTTGGGAGTGACCCATGCGCAAACCCCATGCGCTTGTGAGGGTCCTCAAGCAGTGACCTTACTCTTTGGGGATCAGTGCGTGTAATATACATATATATATATATGTATATTTTTTTGCTTTTACCAAGCTAAACCTTGATCGTCATTTTGAGCCTTTGTGGGAATTTCATCTGTTTGAATGTCTCCATAAGGGTCCAAGTACCTAAATAGTATGTAATTAGGGCCCAAAGTAACTATATGGAAACTAACTTGTGCCTAAATTTCCCAGTAGTTGAGTACTTGAACAGAGGATCTTGTTCGCTCAGGCTTCATACGCTCACGGCCTGGGAAGAACCACTGCTAGATGGGTGCTGATCTGTTCCCTGTGATTTTGAAAGAGTCTCTTGAGGGTAACATCCAGAAGGCCGCGCTTCATGAGACCTCCCGGCGCAGAACTTGTCTGAAGGGATATCCGATTTAGAGATTCTAAGGGATTGAATTCAGATATTGCCCCAATCGTGGAGAATCACATGGAAAAGAACATGGAAAAATACATGGAAACTGGGAATGCGAAGCTCTGTCGCCCTCTTCATCCTCTTCATCATCACCCCAATCCGGTTTTAGATTTTGGTTTGGCTATGAGCACTTGTTGGATGCAGTGTCACCACGAACCGAGGCGGAGCAGCGAGGGACGACGTTAAGTCTGTTGCTGGCCGTCGCCTCAGGTCGTCGCAGCCTGCTCTAAACTCTTTCCAACGATCCTTACTTTCAGGCGGCATGGTGAAAGGCAAGGTGATTTTGTCTTGCAATTGCGCTGTGCCACAAAATTGGTCCCTTTTTGAGGGTCCCTATCGCAAGGGATCTATGTCTGTCTGCTCCTCCCAGGAATCCTCCGCATGTCATGACAGGGATGCACGCCTGCTGCATTCTAAAGGTCCGAGACGGCGTGAAGGGCTATCATCAGGCTGGCTGTCGCAAAAGATACCGCCAACGGAAGTAATCTTCCATGACTCAGACGGTACGGAGCTGGCAGAGTTCCTAGGGTTCCAGACATTCCAGTGCAGTGCGGAGATTCTTCCCTAAAGCCTAAATCCTAAACTTCCCATGATCGCCTTTGAGCAGCTTCTGACAAGACCTGGAATTTGCAGGTGAAAGTGCGCGTCAACAAAGATGCCAGCGTTCGTGCCTGAGCTCTGAAGTGCTCTCCTACACAAAGTCAGTGCCTTTGGGGTTTAGGGTTTCGGATTTAGGGTTTAGGGTTTGGGGTTTAGGGTTTCGGGTCTGGGGTTCAGAGTTTAGGGCTTAGGGTTTAGGGTTTACTGAACTGGGGCATGTGCTAAAGCCGTGGCATCTTCTTGTGTGTCCAAGATCTTACGCGCTCATCCAAACCCCAAACCCGAAACAACGATCCCCTGAATCCTAAACCTTGAACCCTAAAATCCGACACCCGAAGCCCCACAGATCCTCATGTATGCATACAGAAGGAGTCATCACATGATACCTAAAGGTCCATGCTACACAGCCCTCTACCCCCTTGAAGGGGATTTAAACTTATCGCGACTTTGGAGCAGATCCCAGAACCCTGAAGTCTTTAACCCTAGTCCTTACACTAAACCCTAAAACCCTCGAACCTTAAAACCATCAACCCGCAAACCCTAAAACGAGGTGAAGGAGCTGATCCAAGCGGCAGCTGAGGAAGCTGGCGAAGGATTGCGATCTTCTGTCATGAACCTCTGTGTTGCTGTTCAGGACTTTTCTTAAGTTTAAGTCACAAGAATGGAGAATCACATCATGGAAAAGAACACGGAAACTTAACCGGACACTGCATGAGGCTATATAGGGGATATGTAAAGGTTTACGGGACTAAATGTCATGTATAGTCTAGTAAGTGGCCACAACATGGATTTACAGTAATGAATTGTGTTCCGTCACTGTGGTACCTTAGTTTGAGTTGCTTAGCAAGCGAGTTTTGACAGGGTGAAGGGTTGGACATATTGTGGGTTTAGAGGTTTAGGGTATTTCAGGGTTTAGCGCCTTAACATCTTGCTTACTGATGCGTCATCGGGAACAAGAAGTCTGTCTAGGTTATACGGGGACTACTACAGGGATGCATTCCCCCAATCCTATCTGAGCTTGAGTAGGCTTAGAGGCCTAGTACAGGGGAGGCTCCAAAGCCTGCTTCCATGTTGAATGTTGGGGCTAGGCTATACACCCCAAAACGACATCTGGTGGTTGATAATAAGGCAGTACCGTGGTCGAAAACCCATGAGGCATTCAGGGATCACCTTGAGAAGGTTCAGTGGAAAAAGTCGGAGTCTGGGGAAGAGCATGCCAATACTCTGAACGCCAGGGCCCCGATACGGCGCCAGGTACGAGACCACAATCCATTTAAGATAGAGGAACTACAGGCGGCCCTACAGAAACTTAAAAAGCAGAAGGCTCCGGGCCCTGATGAAGTTCTGAACGAACTCTTTCTCCTTCTTGATGACCACAACGCCCTTACCCTCCTAAAATTCTACAATAAAATATGGGCTTACGGAGACGTTCCCAACTCTTGGAAAGAAGCTATTGTAGTTTCAATTTACAAGGGTAAAGGGAAAGATGTTGACCCCGCCAATTACAGACCCATTTCTTTACTCAATTCCATTTATAAGCTATTTGCAGCCATGCTACAGGCCAGACTAGCTAAACAACACGAAACACACCTGAGAGGCACGCAGTATGGTTTAGAGCAAAGCGGGGTACAGCTCATCCGTTATTCATCCTTAGAAGGGCTATGGAGTGGTCTGAGATGACGGCTAATCCTCTCCACCTCTTATTTCTGGACTGGAAACAGTCTTTTGATTCCATTGACCACAACGCCATGCTGGTAGCATTAAAGAGATTTGGAGTATCTGATAGATCGTTGAGAATCATAAGGGCACTGTACCAGGATCCTACTTTCTTTACCAGCGGACTTCATGGAGATATCGCTAAGGGTCAAGTAGGCTCGGGAATCAGACAAGGCTGCCCCCGAAGCCCGTACCTTTTTGTTATGGTTCTTACGGTCATCTTCGAGGACATGGATTGGGGTCTGCTAGGCAAAAATATCGCTACGAACGCCTGGTCAGTAGGGAAGCCCGTGTATGATTAGGAGTATGCAGGTGACACACTATTAATGGCATGACCACAATGCAGCTGCAGGCTTTTCTTGCGGAACTGGAAAAGCAATCTAAGTTATATGGCATGCACCTGAACCAGACCAAAACGGAATTACTTGTAGACCCCCGTAAGCTTCCTTCCTGAAATCAAGTTCTCCAATGGTACACCAGTACCGACCACAACGCAGATTAAATATCTAGGCTCGATGATATCTTGGGTAAAACCCTTCGACATGGCCTTCAAACACCGTGCGGGTCTGGCAGAATCCTCGTACAAAAAACTAAGATTGGTTTGGAACAGTCGCTAGCGTATAAAGAAAAGCTCAAAATATTCCAGTCAGTATTTATAGGGACTTTGGTGTACGGCTTAGACGCCCTTACCCTCCAGCAGAAACACCTCAAGCGTATTGATGCCTACTACATTAGATTCCTCAGAAGAATCGTGGGAGTCAAGGCCTCGTACTACTCTAGAATCACCAACGTAGAAGTCTACAGGCGGGCCGGACACCCTAGAAAACCTTCCGATACCCTTCAAAAACTACAGATAAACATGCTCAAGCAAGTTTACGCAGCAGAAGATAGTGACCCGCTTCATCATGTTGTATTTAGCCCAGCTTTAAAAGATAGGATTCAGTCAACAGGACGTAGAAGAGGGGGCAAAATTCCCTACTGGTTAGAGACCACAACGCAACGCATATTCCCGGACATTGGGCAAAACCATTCTGCTAATAGTGTGCTAGGGCCAAACGTAATTTACATCACCATCAAAAGATCCTTGAGAGAGCATGCAGAGATGGCGCCTACGAAACATCCCTAGACCCAAGCCCCAACCCCCAAACGAACTCTGAACCCCTACATGCAGATTTCCCGAAGCGAGAAACCGAAAAGCTCCATAAGAAACGTTTACGGGACCCAGAAAAAGGAGAAATGAAGGATTGCTTTCTGGCGGTTTAGGGTTTAGGGTTCAGGGTGCCCCAAGCCTTGCCTCCGTGGTCAGCAGGGAAGGGGAAGAGGATAGGTTTAAGGCCTTGGGCTTCTAATTTAGAATTTGGGTATAGGGTTTCGGGGCTTTCAAAAAAGCATTCACAGGGAATTCTGGATTGCGCTGGGGCCGTTTCAGGGATCCACTCCTTACACGATTAAACAGGGACTCCGAGAGAACTCCTTGATCACCCCAATGTATCCCTGGGTCAACTCACTAGGGAAAATGAAAGTATAGTTTAAATAGTATCCCCATGAGCCCTGAAGCCTAGATCCTAGAAGTGCACAGTGTGGAACGAGGAATTACTTCTCTCGGTCTCGGTTTACCCATTCTTGCCACCTCTGGTCAGCTCCGGCTTTGTATGGTAGGCCGTTTCAAAGAGATTGCAATCATGTTAATGCAGACCTCTGATTAATAAACCCCCTCTTTTTAAGGGCCTTCATATAAGGATCCCTATTATAGTCCCTATTAAGGGGAGGGGGTCTATTAATCACGGGTTTGGGTTATGTCATGTCCTGCTAAAGATCCCTCGTAGGTTTGCGGAGGCGCGGGAATCCTACCTGAAACCCGATCCTCACTAGGGGTTAGTAGGGAATAAGGGAATTGACCCCAGATATAATCCCTATAGTATTTCATTATTCCCTGCTAACCCCCAGTAAGTACTTGCTGTTCTGAAGTCTGAAGCGTGCAAGGACTTGAAGCATCCCGATGCGTGTTGGTGGAGGTCTGGAACAAGAAGGTGCCCAAGCTGTCTCTAGCACATTTGTCAGAGAATGTTGAAGATTATCCTCTAAACCCTAAGTCCTGAATTGGGACCCACACAATCCACTCAACATCTTAGGAATCTCTACCTTGCCCCGGTTGCATATGAGCCCGCCATTTTGAGAAGCCCAGCATATGTACTAGTTCTGAAGATTCTGGAGCAGTAGCATCGCGCCTGCTGGTGAAACTCTCATGGCTATGTCTGTTCTCAGTGAGAGATCGCTATGTTGGTGTTCTGACATTCCGATAGTCACCCGATAGTCCACTTAAACTCTAAACCCTAAACCTTAAACCCTAAACTCTAAACCTTAAATAGTAGCTTCCATTTTCTTTACCATTATCCCCATAACCCTTATGTAACTCCTATATAACCTCTACATAACCCCTATATAACACCCATCTAACCCCTTATAACCCCTATATAACCTAGTTGTTGTTATGTCATTGCTTGCAGAAAGCATGTTGCCTCGCTACTACGAACAGCAGTCAACATCTGGGACACATTCGGGGCCCTATAAAACGGCTTAGGTTTTAGGATTTAAGGTTTAGGTTTTTGGGCTTAGGGTTTAGGGGTTAGGGAATCTGCTCCTTTCGATTTTTTTCTTTTGATCATAGTGGAGGGTTTCCCAAATCAAGGTGTAACTTTACAGGGGATGTAGGTGTTATAAAGGGATATTATAGATCCCAGTTGTGGGAACTACCATTCAGGGGCCGTTAAAACATGTAATCTCCTTAGGAATTAAGTTTTCTTGTAGTCTAATTGAAAAGGAGTTGTTAAACACTGATATGTTTGTTATAGGTCTAGGGAAACTAGTAATCCTTATGGCTTTCTAGGGAATATGTGCGGACGATGCTCCAAACCCCAAACCCTAAAAAAACCCTAAACAACCCTAAACATGAACATGTATTCGTAGGAATATCCCAGATAATCTCAAGGTTCATCAGTTCTTCGAGGAGAACACCTGCGTCGACAGCATCCGTGCGGAGGACCCTTGCGCTTTGTGGCCTTAGGTTGGGCGGGTACAGGGACCGGAATGGGACCCCCCAAACAGGGAACCCCAAGAATGTAGTATGAATAAATGCGGTATACTCGGAAACCTGGCAGGTGCATTCCCATCCTAATATATTCTTGAGATTCCTTGTTTGGGGTTCCCATTACAGTCCTTTTAGACAGAACAGCACCCAAGCTACACATGGGGTTGGTCTGAAGATCCATTGGGGAACGTATTCAGGGAGACTGTAGGCCTACAAGGAAGCACGTAGGGGAAGGGGTCTTCCATGATGGCCATTTTGGGAACAGGGTTTTCGGTTTAGGGTTTAGGGTGAATCTGTATCAACTACCAAACACTTGGGCCTGTGCTAGGATTATGCTAATAGTTTGCCAGGGAGTATATCTCACATGGTTTGGGCAGCATGGCGTTTATCAACATGACCCCAATGAAACTGCAACTGAGGTTCCCCGACAGTCCTCTTATGGTCCCTCTCTGTTCTGTGGCCCCTAAACCCTACACCCCTAAGCCATATGAGCTATAGTCTAAACTCCTTTAAGGGTGTTATTTAGTGGAGTACTATAGGGTATATTAAGGGGGATACTAGGAGCCTTGACTCATATAGGAGCCCAAATTTTGGGAACCCTTGCCAGTCTGCGGCTGCCAGGACAACCTTCTTCTCACTGAGGTTTCCGATGCCACCGCCTTCCATGTGACGAAAGAGCAGCGTGCGCTTCTTAGCAAGAAGCGCAGCAGGTTCTGCGCCTACAGCTAGACTTTCGCAGAATTTAGGGATTCCAGCTTGAGGGTCTTGGGTGTTACAGTTTAGGGTTCAGGAACTGTAGGCACTCATCTGAAAAAATGCTTGCTGTCAGACTCTTGCTGAAGTTGGTGGCACCCGATTTCTTGAACATTTCAGGTCTGCCCGTTTAGGAGTTCCGCAGCACCACCCCTATATGGTCCCTAAATAACCCGTTAATGTAGACCCCTGATTAATAAACCCTTCCCCTCAATCGCGATAATAATAGGGATCCTAATATTAAGGCCCTTAACGGAGGGGGTTTATTAATCATGGGTCTACATTATTCCCGGGTTCTCCATGTCAGCTCTGCTTTCAGAAGCCAACATTTACCTTTTTTCTATCCTGGAGTGTTGACTGCCCTTTTGGCTTCAACTAGGGTTTAGCATACTGGTGGTGAGGTTTAGGGTTTAGGGTTTAGGAGGGAATATAATCCCTATATACCCCGATCTAACATATTCCCATAAACCCACCTGGTTGGAAAACCGCTACAAACTTGAAAGCTGCCGGTGTAGACGGCTCAAGCACCTGAGCCTTTTTCAGATCAAAATACCCTACCAAGGGAATAGAATCCCTATATACACCACTATATACTATATTCTCATATACCCTACTAACCCCCAGTAAGTTAGGCTCTGAGGGGGTTAGGGTTTTGCACGCGGCTTCCTCTTGTCACTGAATCGGCTGCCGCAGCCTAGACAGCTTCTGCAATGAATTATAAACGCTATCGTGCGCCCCGCTCGGCTGGCGGGGCGCGAAGCACACGAATAGGTCATGGCATGTAATTTCACACGCGGGGGGTCGAGGGAGTAGCGGAGGCAAGCCTCACTTC